GTCCTTTGCTTTACAGAAGCTTTTTAGAATGATGTAGTCCCATTTGTTCATTTTTGCTTTTGTTTCCCTTGCCTGAGGAGATGTGTTCAGGAAAAAATTGCTCATGTTTATATTCAAGAGATTTTTGCCTATGTTTTTTTCTAAGAGTTTTATGGTTTCATGACTTACATGCAGGTCTTTGATCCATTTTGAGTTTACTTTTGTGTATGGGTTTAGACAATAATCCAGTTTCATTTTCTTGCGTGTATTTGTCCAATTTTGCCAACACCAGCTGTTGAAGAGGCTTTCATTTCTCCATTGTATATCTATGGCTCCTTTACCATATATTAATTGACCATATATGCTTGGGTTTATATCTGGACTCTCTAGTCTGTCCATTGATCCATGGCTCTGTTCTTGTGCCAGTACCAAATTGTCTTGATTACTGTGGCTTTGCAGTAGGGCTTGAAGTTGGGGAGTGCAATTCCCTCCACCTCATTCCTCCTTCTCAGGATTGCCCCCGCCATTTGGGGTCTTCTCTGGTTCCATATGAATCTTAGAACCATCTGCTCTACTTCTTTGAGTAATGCTGCTGATATCTTGATAGGGATTCCATTGAATCTGTAGATTGCTTTAGGCAGGATAGCCATTTTGACAATATTAATTATTCCTAGCCAAGGGCATGGGATGAGTTTCCATTTATTGGTATCTTCTTTAGTTTCTCTCATGAGTGTCTTGTAGTTTCAGAGTATATATAGGTCTTTCACTTCCTTGGTTAGTGCTTTATTAATTTTTTAAAAAATTTCAACAGCTTTTCCTATCAAGATCTCTAATTGGTTCTTTTTCATAATTACTTGTTCCTGTTTCAAGAATGCCAGTACTTAAATAAAACCCTCCCTCGATTAATTATACTATTTAAAAATTCTATTTTAATTGGTTTATTAAGTCTGGTTTTGAGGGGATTCTCTGTTGCCTTGATGCCTTCCTTCTTTGCTGCTCAGCTGCTCTCTGGGGTGGGAGTGGGAGTGGGAGCTCACACAAGATCTGCAGGCCTCCAGGCTTCCCCTGGGTCTGTGGCTGTTGCCATTGGGTCAGCCTCCTCCTGGACCTCGCACTGTTGAGCAGTGACTCTTGATGTCACCACACTGCGTGACTTCCCACCTGTACTCTGAGCTTCAGTTTCTCTCTTTGGTCTGATGCTATCTTTCTTCAGCCCCTAGACATTCCTACTTTCTGGGCCAATGAGAATCTTTCTCTAATTTTTGAGTGTCGCTGTGTATATACATCTCCCTCTCTCCATCTGTCACTTTCTTCCTTCCATCCTTCCTCTCACTTCCTTCCCTTCTCCTCCCACTGTTTAATCATTTCTGTGATTGGCAGGAAGAGGAAATTGCAGTGTGGGTTTAGCTTGCCATGTTAAACTAGAGGTGAATGTGTGGCCTTTTTCCTCTCATCGAGACATTTGCATGTGCTATACACCTGATTGGAGTGTCCCTCTGCTCCACCCCTGTTATATCTGCATAGCAAATTAATACTTACCCTTCATATCATTACCTCTGTGGAGCCTCCCATAATCTCCTAGGCAGAGTTAATTTCCTCTCTTTTGTTCCCATTGTGATGTTATACACCTTTATTTTAGTATTTGTTGTACACCTTTATTTTAGTACTTGTTATAATTGTTTGTAGTCATGTCTATGACTCTTAGCTTCTTTTATCTGTGTATCTTTGCATTTCCTGTTTGGTGTATGGTAGGTGCTCAGGAAACATTTGTTCAGTGAGTGAGTGACTGGTTTCAAACAAGATGAAATTAATTTACCATATCAGATGTGATTACAAAGTAATTACAAAGCTAAATTTGACTATTCAACTCAAGGACATTTATTTCCTCCCTGTCCCCCTTCATGTAATATGTGAAGCTGTGCTGGGTGTTCTGTTAACTCCTCTCTTGAACTCTTTTAGATTAGTTCAGCAAACACAATAGTCTCATCTCTTTCCTTTGTTGCACATGTTTTGACAGGCTTGGCTGTGTGTATGTCTTCTTCATCATACTTGGCTCTGAATAAATTTTTGGCTTTTACTAAATATTGAATCTATCTTTAAAGGAGATTTTTTTCCCCTGAACATTGCCTATTCATAGTCTTAAGCTCCTGAAATGGGCATCCTGTCTTTTTTTCTTTTTGAAGCTGTGACAGTCTACTGTATTGGTAGACTAGAATTCTTAAAAGGATTTCTAAAACATTCAAGCACTGGCAACATTGTAAGAATCTCTGGAATTGAATTCCAGAGTGCCATTGTGTTTGCTTTTTAAAGAAAATAGACATTTTCTGATAACACCTTAAAAGGCAACATATAAGGGAAAGAAAAAAGAGTACAGTGTTAACTAGAAGTGTGACACTGATTCACAGGGTCCCAGTGACCCTGAGGTAGGCTCTAGAAGTGAGCTTCAGAAGAAGGCACTACAGTTGAAAAGTATTTTGGGTCTTCTTATTGTCCCCAGTGAAATGTCCCATAATGTAGGCTCATTTAATCTATAAACGTTCTGTTGATTCTCCTGCTGTCCTCAACACCTGATGACTAGGCATTTTTCCTTTCGGGTGCATGTGAACAAAAAGAAATGTCTTCATGACATAGAGGAGATATGAAGATTAGATGTAAGGAAGAGTTTTCTAGGTATATGTGTCAGCAAAATGCTTATGGCTCCACACAAGGAAAAACCCCACTCGGCTGCGTTAAACCTGAAATTCAGTGGATTTTTTCCTCAAATCAAGATTATTTGTTAAAAATTAATTTACATTATGTTCACTTAATTTTTCACTTGAAATGCTACAGTCTTTGCCTTATTTTGTCTAGAAATATAGTTTAATGAGATGATCTGTCTTCCCACCCCATTCCATCAACATAAGGAGAGCTTTGTAGACATAAGAAAGCCTCAGTCTTCAGAAAATCAAAGGCACTGCTTATGAAGGCTTTGTAAAGAATGTGAAATACTAATGTGTTATTTTTTGAAATAGGCTAAATCTGCCTAAAAACTTTAGCTCCAAACCTAAAATGATCTTAGGAAAAGCGAAACCTCAGAATTTATGGCTTAATTCAGAGAACCCAACGTTAATTTTTAAATCACTATGTCTTTGGAATGAATAATTCTTTACTTGAACTAAATTTGTCTGTAATCTCTTTTGATATCCCTTTATTAGGTACAGCATATAACAATTTTATTACTGTTTATCCATCTCTAATACATATGGAGACTTGGACAAATCACCTAACCTCTCTGAACCTTAGTTTCCTCCTCTGCAAAGGGTGGAGTGAATACATGGCTTCTGAGCTCTAAAATGCTTTCACTGAAGCTAAAATTATCTAACTTGTGTGCATGCTACACATGCATAGTTATATATATAGTGTGCACATGCACTAAATATCCTGAGTATACATCCTATATGTATGTATATGTGCTCTATCTATATGCAGGTCATTGGTAGGAAGTTTGTTGTGTATGCTGTGGGGAGTGACCCACTTATTCTTACTCCTTCAGTTACCAGGCTTGTTGGCTACTGATGGTACATGGCCGAACCCCTTCCAGTCATTCATTACCTTCTTCTGGTGGAAGCTGTTTGCCCAAGGTTATGTCCCCCTCCATGTGGGAAGCCTTCATCTAATAACTGGTTGATTTAGGGATACAAACTCCCTGCTGCCTCTCCTCAAACAGAAATTCACTATAAAGGGCCATCTAAGCTCTAGAGCCCCCTTAGGATCGTCTGAGGTCTCTGTTGCAACTATACTGCAATTTGAATTTTCTCTGCCCAGTCCTACTCCCCTCACCCCTGAGAACAGTTGTTCTCTAGATCATCCCCCAGTAAAGCTCCTGCACACCACTCTCCATCTCAGAGTCTGTTTCCCAGAGAAGCCAACCTATAGCAACATGTATATTTAGAAATGGGTTTATTCCTTTTTGACTTTGCTGCCTTTTGAACAATGACATATTTGATGTTACGGCATAAAACAAAGCAAAACTAGCTGGTGAACATGGAGTCAAACATGTTTTTAGCCTTATGAAAGTGTCTCCTTACAGACAGGCTGATTTACCACCTTCTCAGTCATAGATCTGTACATGGTACAACCAAGACTCTTGGGGCAGCTCATATTTTGAGTAAATATTATTCCTTCATTTTTAAATTTTTTAATCTAAAAGAAAAAGATAAAGAGTGATTGAATTTGGTCTCAACAGTTGAGTATTTTAGAGTCTAATAATTGAATTGTGTGGATTAATAAGAATGTACTTTATATGATATCTACAAAGGAAGTGACAGTTTTGCAGTCTTGAAGGTTCAGGTCAAATTGAGGATTCTGTTAGAAGTATAAGGTCTGATGGGGAAGACAGTGTAGCACAGAGAAGACAAGTAGTGACTCTGTGGCATCTTACTACACTGATAGACAGTGACTGCAATGGCGTGTTGGGAGGACTTGATAATATGGGTGAATGTAGCAACCTCATTGTTTTTCTTGTGAAACCTTCATAAGAGTGTATTTCAATGATACCTTAATAAAAAAATTACTAAAAAAAAGTATGAAGTCTGTTCAAATGTGATGAATATATTTAATCACACACCCATAAAGAGCCAACTCACCTTCTTCCATGATTTCTATGGGCAGTCAAATTGTTAGATTTGTACTGATACTCAGTATCTCAAGGTTGTATAAAGGGAAGCAAGCCTGCCATTACCAACTGGTTGGTCTGATTACTGTAACAGCATTGGTAATATCTATTCACCTATTTTTTAATTCTTCTGTTTTCTAAAATACTGCTTATTCTTCTTGCAGTTAAAGATTGTTGATTTTGGGGACCTTTCTATTATCACTGACACATTTTATTCAGAGCCTAGTGGATAGTGGAGGTACTAAATGCCCTTGAACTGTGATTCTGGCATGAGCTCTTCATTTGTTGCTTAATGTTCAGACTGTCTATGTACATTTTCTTCCCATTTAATTTCAAAGCTCTTTGTTACTCATATTTATTTTCTCAGAAGAATTACCTTGTACATGCCCACTATGTACCTCAGACAGAGGGAGCTGTGTCAGTACAACAGAAGGGATCCAACTTGCTAAAGAACTAGGAGCTACTTATCTTGAACTACACAGCCTTGATGACTTCTACATAGGAAAATATTTTGGAGGAGTGGTAAGTGGAAATTACTGTTACATAAATTAAAGTCAATTTCAGGTTGCCTCTTTAGGTATTTTTCAGAACCTCAAATAGAACTTCTAAGAGCATGATTAGCTCTAACATTGAAAAATAAAACAAGAGTAGAAAAAAGGCTTTTTCAGAGTAAAATTTATTTGTATTTTTCTCTCCAAATGAAACATTTGCTAATATAGGATATTTTGGAATTTTCCATTTGATGACACTTTATTGGTCTTTGCTGTACATGTCAAAGGCAGGTTTACTTGCGCTACTTGCGATGTTAGTTTTAATGGTAATCTTTGTACAGCTCAGTGAGCCTGACAACCTGAATCAGTGGGCCTTCAAAGTTCTCCTTCATTTCTATCTGCTGCTTGGAAAGAATAAGTTTTCTTCCTCTATGCTTTTGCAAGATTTCATAAGCTCTTAATCTTGGTGTAGCTCAGAACTATCCACAGAAACTAATACAAATAGTTTCTTTTGGATATGTGGGGAGCCAGAGTTTGCTTGCTCTGTTGTAGTGACATTTATTGGGTCCTGCATGCATTTTGAGGCCCATCCACAGCACCTAACCTACAATATTAGGACTGCACAGTCCTTGGCAATTAGTATGGAGTTGTAAGTATTAACTCTGGAGCTGTTTTTCTACCCCTTTAAGTGACTCCTCTCAGGAGACAAACGTGGTACACATCGATGAGTGGTTTAAACCAAAGGAGACTCTACATTAAGTAGGAGCACTTTGGACTTCTCCATCAGTCCCCTAGCATTTTATCACATACTCTCCCCAGTATGCCAGAATATTCATTATGTAGGTTCATCTGAAATGTTGAGATTTCTGTGGATAACTCTAGAAATTTCATTTGTTCTGGAGTTAAATTCCAGATAAGAACCAAATATAAATGGTTCTGCTATCCAGTGTAAGTATTATTCACTCAGTATTATAAAGAAACAGTAATATAGCAATAGAAACAATAATAATTAAGGAAGATATACTCACAGTATTGATATTATCAATGATGGTAAGAAACTTGTGTTTTATTTATTTATAGTGATAATGCAGTGGGTAGGAAGGTAGAGAGGGGTGAAATCTAATTTTCCTGACAAGCATACTATATTGTAGTGGTTTAAAAAAAATCTTAATTTGATCTAAGAATCTTGAATTTCCCTGAAATACCTAGGGAGCTGGAGGATAGATAGTTTGGTTTTATTTGTTGGAGAGGAGGAGGCTGGTTCTCTTTGGGGCCTTAAGTCTCCTTGTTTCTGGGCCTGAAATTCACAGAATCAGTCTTTTTACCTCCCATCTCCCACTTTCTCTTCTTTTTCTCTTATTCTCCCCCACCCCTTGTTTCTCTTTGTTCTTAATACCTAGTGTTGCAGTTAAGAGTCGGAGGCATGATGAGGATTGAACTTGTGGTCAAGGGTGGAGTAAAGACATGAGAATTTCTTTTTCCTAAACTCAAGACTTGATGAGAATATGAAAATAAGACCAAAACGATCCCTTTCAGACTCATAAAGTAAAACTGAGATCTTGAGTGTAAGAAACAATCGCATTTGCAAGAATATGGGTGGAGATGATAATGTCAGGGTGAAAGCAGCATTTAAAATCTTGTGTTTAAGAGTCAGGGATGAAGACTTGGGAGAGAGGGGCACATTCCCCCAAGCTTCAGAGAGCCCCATCTGGCCCACATACAGTGGACCCCTCCCCAATGAGCATGCATTGATGGAGCCAGGTGTATGTCCCCCCTGGAGCTAGTAGCACCTTCTAGACTTGCACCATTCATTTGGTAGCCACTAGCCATATGTGGTTGTTTATATTTAAATAATTTTTTAGAAGAAGTTCAGTTCCTTAGGCACACTAGCCACATTTCAGGTGCTGAGTAGCTACATGTGGCTGCATGCTATATTGAATAGCACAGACATTACAAAACATTACCATCAACACAGAACAGAAATTTCTATTGAACTGATCTGTGACCAAAACTCAGGCTCCAGAATTCTCTGACCAGCTGGCCCTGAGACTGTTTTCCAGGCCTCTGCAGGCCTCTCTCCTGGGTCCATCCTCCTGAAGGCAGACCATGTTGCTGGTATGTGCACCCCTAGGTCTGAGAGATAGCTGAAGAGTGACTGCTTATGAGAAATGGGGGAGAGGAGAGTGGATGGAGCTTGGATCTGCAGGCATGGACATCTACTTGTATGCACAAAGCTCTTCCAGGCATGGGATGGAGCAGGGAGTGAGAAGAGAAGGGGTGGTCTTGAGGCCGAGGAGTTAGGAGCCAGCCCTCCCTTTGCTTCAAGGAGTCTTTGAGAACTTAAATCTGAACCAGGCCTTCCAGCCTTTATGATGACCTATTTGTCAAAGCAGGAGGATAGAATGTCTTTTACATAATAGTTTGTTTTCTTGATTTACAGTGTTTAAATGTTTGGGTATGTGGTATGTGGACCTCCATTTATATTTTGCCCCAGCCTCACAATTTAAGGCATAGCGCTAGAGCTGTGTAACTGCATGCAGTTCAGATTTTTAATTTATAACATAAAGGATGTATTTCAAAGTAATTTATTCAAGAGAAAAAAAAAAGCACATGTGTACTTCCCTAGATGATATAAACAACTGTGACATAGAACCAGAGCTGTTCCTGCCCAGAATTTCTCTAGTATTAACTGCTATGGCTGCCCACGAGATGGTTATTGACAGTCACATGGTAGTACTGCTTGGCATTTTGATTATTCAAGAGAATAAATAGTTCTGTCTTGAATGGATAGTTTATGTATGTATGTTTAGACAAGGCACAATCTGTTCTACTTGATACATTTTTTAAAAATAAAAAGTTGTTTGAAAGTGTTTGCTAAAGCTTACACATAGGTGGTAATGGCATTAAAAACATTTGGCAAATGTGATTTGGGGTACAAGTAATCATGTTAGATACAGTTTTGTGGGTGCTTTAACTAAAATTTGATTCATGTTTTAGTTGGAGTATTTTATGATTCAAGCCTTAAATCAGAAGACAAGTGAAAAAATGAAGAAAAGGAAAATGAGCAACTCGTTTCATGGAATTAGACCACCTCAGCTTGAACAACCAGGTGCTTTTATTAACCAATATCTAGACATTCAATTGATATTTATTATAGATCATTTTGTAAGTCTTAGAGAAATTTTCTCAAATTTGAGTATGTTCAGGACTCATATGACATGCTTACTCAGTAATCCTGGGAAGGGACCCAGCAGGTACTTTTCAAATAAGTTTCTCAGGTGATTCCAAAGCAGGTGGTGGTTGGGCCACATTTTGAGGAATACTGTCTTAAAAACTGGGGCTTACAGATTATTTAAGAAGTAGTGTGTGTGCTGGAGAGCTGTTCTGAATTGAAATCGATTGAGGTATAACCAAATACAGTACATGAATCTTGATTGGATACTGGTTCAAAAAAAACATCTAGGGGGATTTTGGGAAGATGGTGGTGTGAATAGTGCAGTGGAAATCTCCTCCCCAAACCATGTATACTTTTGAAAATACAACAAATAAAACTACACCTAACAGAGAGACCAGAGGATACAGTACAATAGCCAGGCTACATCTACATCTGTGAGAACACAGCTTCTTATGAAGGGGGTAAGATACAAGCTGTGACCCAGCGGGATGCGAACGCTCTCCCCACCCCAGCTCCTGGTGGGAGAAAAGGAGTCAGAGTGGGGAGTGAGTGGAAGCCCAGGACTGCTAAACACCCAGCCCTAGTAATCCGCACTGGGAGTGCAGACACACATTGCATGGTGTGCTGGATATTAGGGAAACAGAAAAGTAAAAATCTGTGAGCGGGTCCCCGCAGCTGGCGCCCCTGGGACAAAAGAAAAGTGAGTGCTTTTTGAAAGTCTTAAAGGGACAGGGACTTCACAGCTGGATGGAATCATCCCAGCACACTCAGCCTAACAGCTGGGAATCCCAGGGAACTTCAGGCACCCTAACCCCCTGGGTGGTAACGCAGCTCTGAAGCCCCTCATGGCTATAAACAGCCTGCCGTTCATTCTCACTCCTGCGTGGCCCTGGGAGAGCAGCCTGGGAGCAGCCACGCCCACAGCAGCTGCCCAGAGTCTCGTCCCAGCATGCAGCCATCCAGGCCAGATCCAAAAGCTGCCACCAACGCTGCCTGGTGCAGGCAGAGGAAGCCGGGGAAAGGCATGAAGGGGTGCTGTTCTTGCAGGAGAGCACACCAGGCACACCTTACTCTCACAGCAGGGCTCTAGGCTGCCCCGCCCACCATGGCTTGGGGGTTTAACCTGGAGCCTGCTCCCAGTGGGTGGGTAACTGGCACCGGCAGTGGAGAAGGGCAAGGTGACCACCAAGCAGGAAGAGACTTTGTTCTCCCAGCTAACACAAGCGCTACCTGCCTACGACTACCTCTATCACTATGAAAAGGCAGAAGAATTTGGTCCAGTCCAGAATCACACAGACAACCCCTGAGAGAGGGCCTGGGGAGATAGATTTAACCAATCTTGCTGAAAAATAATTCAAAATAAAGGTCATAACCATGCTGATGGACCTGCAGAGAAATATGCAAGAGCTAAAGGATCAAGTTGGGAGGGAGAATACAGAAATAAAACAATCTCTGGAAGGACTTCAGAGAAGACTGGATGAGGTGCAAGAGGCTGTTAATGGAATAGAAATCAGAGAACAGGAATACAGAGAAGCTGAGGCAGAGAGAGATAAAAGGATCTCCAGGAATGAAAGAATATTAAGAGAACTGTGTGACCAATCCAAATGGAACAATATTCCAATTATAGGGGCACCAGAAGAAGAGAGAGAGAAAGGGATAGAAAGTGTCTTTGAAGAAATAATTGCTGATAACTTCCCCAAACTGGGGGAGAAAATAGTCTCTCAGACCATGGAAGCCCACAGATCTCCCAACACAAGGGACCCAAGGAAGACAACACCAAGACATATAATAATTAATATGGCAAAGATCAAAGACAAAGACAGAGTACTAAAGGCAGCAGAGAGAGAAAAAAGGTCACGTACAAAGGAAAACCCATCAGGCTATCATCAACAGAAACCTTACAGGCCAGAAGAGAATGTAATGTAATGAAACAGAAGGACCTTGAATCAAGAATACTGTATCCAGCACGATTATCATTTAAATATGAAGGAGGGATTAAACAATTTCCAGACAAGCACAAGTTAAAGGAATTTGCCTCGCACAAACCACTTCTACAGGATATTTTAAAGGGACTGCTCTAGATGGAAGCAATCCTAAGGTTAAATAGATGTCACCAGAGAAAATAAAATCACAGCAAAGAAAGCAGACCAACCAAATACTAACGAAAGGCAAAAAATAAAACCAACTATGCACAAAAGCAGTCAAAGGAAACACAAAAGAGTACAGATTAAAACACCTAACATATAAAGAATGGAGGAGGAAGAATAAGAAGGGAGAGAAATAAAGAATCATTAGACTGTATTTATAATAGCTTAATAAGTGAGTTAAGTTAGATGATTAGATAGTAAAGAAGCTACCCTTGAACCTTTGGTAACCATAAATCTAAAGCCTGCAATGGCAATAAGTACATATCTTTCAATAATCACCCTAATTTTAATGGACTGATGTACCAATCAAAAGACACAGTAATAGAATGGATAAAAAAGCAAGACCCATCCATATGCTGCTTACAAGAGACTCACCTCAAATCCAAAGACACACACAGACTAAAAGTTAAGGGATGAAAAAAGATATTTCATGCAAACAACAGGGAGAAAAAAGCATCTGTTGCAGTACTTGTATCAGACAAAATAGACTTCAAAACAAAGAAAGTCACAAGAGATAAGGAAGGACATTACATAATGATAAAGGGGTCAGTCCAACAAGAGGATATAACCATTATAAATATATATGCACCCAATACAGGAGCACCAACATATGTGAAAGAAATACTAACAGAATTAAAGGAGGAAATAGAATGCAATGCATTTGTTCTAGGAAACTTCAACACACCACTCACTTCAAAGGAGAGATTCACCAGACAGAAAATA